CAATAATCTTGGTGAGCTAAGTTGAATTATTGATGGACAATAATCTTTTTCTTATTTAGGCAGCAAATACTGCCCATGAATGGATCAGGACATCTCTGACCAAGCCATTAGCAGAGCAAGAAGAAGGAGAAAAACAGTTGGAAGCAGAAAATAATGAGCAAGTCAATAAAAATTCAATAGAGGTAGTCAAAGCAATGAAGGCTTTTTAAAAAAATTTCAGAATATTAAGGGGGTACAAATATTTTTGGTTACATGTATCAATTTGGTAGTGCTTGAGTCATAGGACTTTTTTTTTTTTTTAAATAGATTTGGGATATGGGTATCACAATCGGGGCCTCAGGGTCTTTCTATTTTGTTGTGCTGCTACTCATAATTTCAACCTTGTGATCCATGATTGGAGCATCTTAAAACCAGACTGTAAGATTAAAGAAGTGAAGAAAAAAAGAGAAAGGGTACATGTGTATTGTGTCATGAGGAAGGTTCCCAGAAGCTGTCACTGGGCACTCTATCTAAACCCTTTGGCCAAAACTTAGTCACTTGATCATACCTGACTTCAGGGGAGCCTTTGTTTTTGTAGCTGTGAGTCCAGCTATAAAATTATATCACTACTGTGGAAGAAGAAGAGAATGCTTATTGAAGGGCAGCTATCCGTCTCTGCTGCTTTCAAAATGTTGAATCCTTTAATGTGAGAGAAGCAAGGTGGTGTCATTTCCACTCGAATAAAAAATCAATAACAATGTTTTATTATGCTTTGTTTTGTTTTGCCATCCAGGATATCCATGCATTTGCAATCCGGAGCCTTGCAGAACTGACCGCCTGCTCAATTGAATTGTTCCACAAAACAGCGGCCTTGGTTCTACATGGCAGGAAGCAGGAAGTGACGGCCATAGAAAGGAGCCGAACTCTTTCCCAGTAAGTGTATGAGTAGCATTCTACATAATGCAACTTGCTGAAAGAGTTTCCTTGGTTTATTTCCAAAGTTTTAGAAACTTCCTTCTCAACAAGATACCATTCACATTGTACCCCTTCACATATTAGAGGTTCATCTTTTTTCCTTGAGCTATGAATGATAGGTCTATGTTATTTATTAATC